AAAGCAGCTTTTTGCAAAGAAAGTGGAGGGGAAAGCACTTTCCTTGCAAGAAAGTGGAAGAGGAAAGCAGCAACCACTTTCCCCCTCCACTTTCTTGTAAGGAAAGTGCTTTCCTCCTCCACTTTCTTGCGAGGAATGTGCTTTCCCCCTCCACTATCTTTGCAAAAAGCTGCATTCCCCCTTGCAAAAAGTGGAGGGGGGAAGTGCAAGAAATAGAAGATGAAATATTTCTAGGCTACACATATAGAATTGTACATATTCTTGCAAAGAAAGTGCTTTATATATATTGTACATATTTCTTTGCAAGAATATGTACAATTCTATATGTGTAGCCTAGAAATATTTCATCTTCTATTTCTTGCATTTTTTGTCACACATTGTCTGTATTGGTGATCTGGCTGCTCAAAGAACTTCTGGATTGGACCAATCTAAATATAAGTAGAAACCATGAGATATACATTAAAAAAATCAAGGTAGTTCATATGAATGGGGGCTAGACCATTATGGCTGAAATCCTGTTGAATAGCTGTGTGGGAACAACTTGACATTATGTCCACAGTAGCTACAACAGCACCAAGGTGGAAGTGCTATCCAGGATGTGCTTCTGTTATTGCATTGAAAAATTGGTCATGAAAGGAACCACACAACTGAATGCACAATTGAATTGGGCCCTCTGCATTGCCTGATCACAATGTAAGGTAAATTTATGTCTGTGCAATTTTACATTATACAGTGATGAACGGGATTCTGGCCGGTTTTTGCCTCTAGTGGTTAAGGGCTCAGTTGGGGAAGAGAAACAAAGAACTAATACACTGTGGAATGGGATGAGAATTTGCCACAAACTGACCAGTTTTGGTGGTTGTTGTGGGTTTTCCGGGCTCTTTGGCCATGTTCTTAAGGTTTTTCTTCCTAATGTTTCACCATTCTCTGTGGCCGGCATCTTCAGAGGACAGAACACTGTGCTCTGGTGCAGTTTGTTGGATAGTTGAGTATTTATAGCTGAGGGATCGGCTTTTGTCCTTTTCAGGAGATTGGGTGATTATGGTGATTGTGTGATTGTGGGTGTATTGTTTTGATAAGAGGGAGAGATGATCTGTCACTGTGGTTGATGAGAGTCGTTAGCTGGTCTTTTGTGTGCCGTGATCACTGGTCCTTGTGGCTGGGTAGAGTTCGTTGACCTTTTGCAGGCTGTATTTTTCAGTGCTGGGAGCCAGGCTTTGTTGAGTTTTAGACTTTCTTCTTTTTTGTTGAAGCTCTGCTGGTGTTTGTAGATTTCAGTGGCTTCCCTGTGCAGTCTAACATAATGATTGCTGGTGTTATCCAGTCTTTTGATTGCTGGTGTTGTCCAGTCTTT